CTCGCTGCTACAACATAACAGTTTCCATAAACTTACAACTTTCACTGCAACAATGATGCTTTGGACATGGTCGCCTTTTTTCATCTTCAAGTGTCCCTTCCACACTTCTCCGAACTGTCCTTCACCAATTTTCGTATCCATGGTGATATGTTGCTTTAGCCAGTTCCCATGCCTTGTAATTGCATCAATTTCACTAAATTGCATGTTTCTAACGGATAGGTATGAAAATTCGGAATGTCAACGGGTAGGTATGAAAATTCAGAATGTTTAATCAGAAGTTGAATTGCACTTATTCCAGCCGACTTTGCCACTAGCTGCCAATTGAAGCCACATCAACCGACTGCATGGAATTGTGCCGCTCCCTCAGCATTTTTGCCGAAAGTAATCTGCCTGCCAATCTTTTCATCCTTACAATAAACGGAATGTGCTTAGCATACGAAGCGCGAGACCGCAGCAATAAATGATCACGTCGTCCTGCGGGTGCTATCTAGCAGTTGCTATCTGCTGACCCTCATTTCGAGGACACTCAGTTACTTTCAAAGAAGTCATTGGGCTTTACCGGCCGTGAGATCGCTAGATCAGATCCTAATAAAGGAGAGGTCTACTAGCGATCAAAGAAGAATAGGCTACTACAGGGTGCGCCAAAATTACGGCGACAACGGATGCGCACACAATTTGAACCCTTATTCAAAGATGCTGTTTACTGCTGCGCTCATTTTGGTTTTGTTGTGTTGACCTGTTCATAATTATCTGTATTTTACCACCAATATGTATGATTGTTACGATGGCTGAGTGATTCTGCCGCCATTTCTAGATCACTGAACTTCAACTTTGAGAGTTTCGGCACGCAAGAATTATCAGCGTTTTGGTTTTTATCTGGGTACCAATCATGGATCCACTAAACGCTCCAAGGAGTAAGGAACCGAATGCACTCATTCTGGATGGGAAGGCTGTGTTCCGAGACGGCCACGAGCAATGTCAGCATGGTGCGCAACAGAATTTGGTGGCACTTCGCGCACTCGTTCCGCCGAATGTCACGAGAGATGGACATTAAGGAGATTACTTGAGAATTCCTAAAGCAAATTGCCATCCTAAGATTTGAAAAACATTGTTGGATCTTTCATAAGGAAGGGATTTCCATAATGGCAAGGGTGGTGCCAAACTGGTGCAGAGCCAATTTTGTTGAATTCATCACTTTCAACGAGTTGGTCTGCATTTCAGATTCAATATAAACGGGTTAATGATGTGGAATTGATTATGTAAGCTGAAGCTTGCACGGAACTACATTTTTAAGATTATTCTGGAGAGAATGTACCAGAATGCGTAGGGCGGGTTCCACGCACTACCTTGCGTGCCACCGTCGATAGGTTCCTCACTGCTTCTCAAGGCCCGTATAAGTGCCAACGAAGGAATTTCTGAGATTTGGCAGATGTTTACGATTCATTATTGAACAGTGAACGTTACTGCATTTTTGGCTTCTGGAATTGTGGCGTGTTCATTCTAGGCAACTCGAAATCGCTGTCGCCATAATTTTGGCGCACCCTGTATATCATGTCGATACAGTGATATTTATTTCAAACTGGTTTGGTTTCTGACGAATTGTTGTAGTGTACCTACGAGCCAGAGTCAACCCTGCGTTGCGCAGTTCGCAACGGCACGTTGAGAGATCCTCAACGCACGCTGTATGGGCGGAGACACAGACGGCTCGAGCATGCGAGTGTGAATGTTCGCGCGAGAGAACGTGTCTAATCGGGCGAAACTGCGCAACGTGGCCGTTGAAAACTGCGCAACGCAGGGTTGACTCTGCTACGAGTGCAGAGTAAATAAATAACTTAAATAGGCTACAAACCCTAGCTCAAACTAGAAGTGGTCAGTCATCCTCTAGTGGGTAATGAGTACTGCTGAGTGAGTGAGTGAATACTGCTTAGTGTTCCTAGTGTTCGCATAGGCATGGTCATTCGGCACAACAACACGCATAGTCGGGTAGAACGCGAAGCAGATCTTAAGTCGAAACATTGTGGGGTCGTTAGCTTCGCGTCAAAATTAGAGACAAGCCCTGGGATACCACTGGTGTACAAGAGCGCATCATAGTGATGGATGAGCTGCGCAATGAACTGATAGTGGATAGGAAGCAAGGGAAGCCATTGCGAACGCTAAAAGTAAGGACTCAAACCCCAGTAAGGTTGGATGTGATACGACGGCGAGACAAAGCGTTTGGAGACAACAGAATCTACGAGAGAGCACCCGTTCAGGGGAGCGCAGATCCCCAAATTAAACGCCGTGGGTGGGAAGCGTTGCAATGGGGGCGATGATTAAAGCCACTTGACGATTAGCGCCCTAATTGCGCATTTTGTCCGACGATTGTGGCAGGTTTTCTGTAGGTACGGACACTACAATTTCCGTTGCGGTATCCTTTCTACCACTGAGGATAATCCCGGGGGTCGCCTCTGAGTATACGGCCATGCAGCGACTTGATGACTCGGGTCAACCGTTACGTTGGACCGATATTGGAGCGACGTTGGACCGATGTTCACCGCTCTCCGCGCCGGCATTCACTCTCGCCACCCGCGAGCCGTCTGTGTCTCCGTGCGTACGTTCACTCTCGGCATTACTCTCGTCGTCGCGTTGGACTTTGTCCAACGGACGGTTGACCCTGCTCGCACTTACTAGTACGCGATAGAAGCGACGCCACCGCCGCTACGTCGTCGCCATCCATGTGCTCTCCTTCTCCTAAGAGCCAGTGCCCCTTTCCCCATCTCAATGTCGCGCCTGTGACGCAGCACTTCACCTTGCGTTAGCATTTGAGCCATTTGAACTAGCGAGGATCCTCTAATGCGACCCTGATCATCTACCCTGGGTAACGAAAAGAGTATATAGTTAGAGCAGGATGCTCCTCGCCCCTATAAAAGAAGAGCACATAGACCCGAATGTTCTGTACGGCACGGGGCAAAGTGGTTGCAAGCTCAACGGGCATCTACGGGTTGCAGTTGAACGCAGGGAACCAGCTGAGGCCTAAAATTGGCACACATTTTCTGCTATTGTCAAGCAGTTATCGAAACATGATGAATTACACCTTTTAGAATACCTGCTTCGGAGCTGCCGAAATGAGTATTATATCACGAAAGACTGGGTTCTTCTGCATCCAATGCTTCCTAAATGTGAGAAATAAATGGATTGCTGTAATATGATGATGACAGCTTTCGTGGAAATCGGGTAAATAGTAAAACTGCGAAAATATAGTCAAGTAGAAGCACATACTTAATAAGGTCGCCATAATTCTTACAGTACAATTGCAAATTTATACTGAACTCCGGTGGACTAGCTTTTGTACGTTGTACAGCATATAGAGGGAAGTGATGAAGTATTGTGTTCCACATCACTGTTAGTATAGGCTAGAAAATAAGATCTCTAATGAGTCAAGTATGATTCAGTTCAGTGAAGAGTAGAGCATGGCACCATACAAGTTCCGATTTGGTCATGAAGTATTTATTATTACTATGTACAAGCGGGGGCTGGGGGGTTCAAAAAAGAGTAGATTCCCTCCATATTCGAAAACGGATTCAGTTATACTTTGCCCAGTCCAAACCGAATGACCTTCTCTAAAAGTTGTAGAGCACATTCCAGTCTACAATGAAACCACAAAAGAATCTTCTCCACCGGCGACATCAGAATATTTTTCCATGGAGGAGCGTTTGGTGAAGTAGTGAGAAGCAATTTTACACAAAACAGTAACCACGAACCGGATTTGACTTTATTTCGTGCTCTGCTTTTCTTACTAAAAAGTCGCCGTTTGCTTTGAGTATTGTTTTGACATCTTCAATTGGTATCATTCCGTGATACCATTCCTCTTTTTCCAGCTCCTAAAAGGAGGTGGGATAGTATTTCAAATAGTTCAGTGGGCACTCAACCTTTAAAAGACACATACCTCCCACACAGACCGGAGAATTCTTGTGGTGTGCTCTAAACATTCTGTTTTGCTTTGGTTGTTATTAAAATATCAGCTCCGTTATGATTTTAGACTTAGGGTTTACCAGTTTCTCAACAGGAGTCCTCGGTGCAGGGCGATTACGTGTACTCTGCTCCAGAAGAATCATCCGTTCTGATACTGCTTCAGCCGTCGGCAATTCATCCACGTCATTTTTCTTGCTGAAAATCAACTGTGTATCAACGTCATAGGTGGTCTAGGCCTCTCAGCACGCTGGGGGTGTGGTTGAGAACCTTTCTCAATACTTTTCCCGTCAGTGAACCAACGACTTCATCAAAACCCCATCGCTGCAGCCTTTTGATAACTGCACTAAATGATAACCTCACGGGCACAATATGGGAGAATTCTGCCAAGGAACGCGTGCAAAAGATTCGATATGGCGCTTCGCGGCGTCTGTGACTGATAACGATAGGATGAACATCGTATTCAGTACGGTCATGGCAGTGAACAAGGGCTTGCTTCTGACTGTATACGGACATTTCAGAAACATTTCACCGTAAGACCTACATCATCATCGGCACCCCGTGCGATGAATAGCTTGCTGATGTACGCCATGAGCAAAAATCTACTTTTCGCTCTCCTTTTATAGAGATGCGCTCAAGCAGAGGTTCTTCACTATGACAGGGATTGAACTGATGCCGTCGCGTTCCTTCTGAGCCAGCCCTTTCTCAAACCAGCTCCAAGATCATTGAATAGCCAAGAGGCAACAGATTAAGGACTTTGAAGGGTTTTGAATTGCTACATATGTACTATAGAATATTGGACCAAGCGTAGCTAAATTTGTCACATGAACCATATTTGTAGAGTATACGTAGTGTAGCACTGGAAAGGAGTTTTGTAGGTATTCACTTACAAGGGTCTGTTGAGCGCTTCCTCGGGAAAATTTCAAGAATGCCGCCCACGCCTCTCGCGTCCACTGCTCTATCATGGAGGTGGACTTTAAGGTGTCGAGAATGTTACAAGGAGCACGAAGACATCCTCCAAAATTCTGTGAGAAATTTGACCAAATAGCAGAATCACGTCCGCCCGTACGATCCATAGTCCGTGTTTGAAGCAAAATTTGCCGCGGATTTATTATATACCAGTTTTGCTTCGCCCGCTATCGCGCGCATCACACGGCAGGCTTTAGCGAAATTGGAGGACCCATGGAATATCAGCATGAGATACTCCATCAACCATCTCACTATTGACTGTGTTAGACCCTCCACAGTTTCACTGAAGCTCATCGAGAATACGCGTGATAACGTCTGAGCTGAACTGGTATATTGATCTCACAACTGTAAACATCCAGCATTTTTCTTGAATTAAGATAATTTAGCGGTGAATAGGATTGCTGTCAGTCTCAAAATCAAAACGAAATATGCCTATTTACATAAGTGAGGAGCTAATGGCTTATCATTTATTTACATTCACCATTATTTAGAACCCCGAAAGGATTAGCGGTTTAATGAGTTTGGGCTTTCTTGATAGAAATGAAACTTATCATTTGCTGAAGACTTGATTAAAATTTATGCAATCGACTGCTATTAAGTAAGCTGGATATATATCGAAATAATGTGCACGTACCTTTGTTTGTACTACTACGACTTACTACAATTTGTAAGTAGGAACGCTCTAGTGTCAACGCTGCGTAACGGAATAACGACTTTTGCGTTCTGACGCGCCTTATCGGCCCTTATCAATCGTTATCAGTTTCTGGCACCCACCAACAATGTCCCCGTCCCACCCCACATAACACTTGTAAGTATGGTTGCTCTGGTGTCAACGCGAGCCAGGCAACGGAATCGACGACTTCAGCGTTCTGGCGCGCCTTATCGGCCCTTATCAATCGTTATCAGTTTCTGGCACCCACCAACAATGTCCCCGTCCCACCCCATAACACTTGTAAGTATGGTTGCTCTGGTGTCAACGCGAGCCAGGCAACGGAATCGACGACTTCAGCGTTCTGGCGCGCCTTATCGGCCCTTATCAATCGTTATCAGTTTCTGGCACCCACCAACAATGTCCCCGTCCACCCCACATAACACTTGTAAGTATGGTTGCTCTGGTGTCAACGCGAGCCAGGCAACGGAATCGACGACTTCAGCGTTCTGGCGCGCCTTATCGGCCCTTATCAATCGTTATCAGTTTCTGGCACCCACCAACAATGTCCCCGTCCCACCCCACATAACACTTGTAAGTATGGTTGCTCTGGTGTCAACGCGAGCCAGGCAACGGAATCGACGACTTCAGCGTTCTGGCGCGCCTTATCGGCCCTTATCAATCGTTATCAGTTTCTGGCACCCACCAACAATGTCCCCGTCCCACCCCACATAACACTTGTAAGTATGGTTGCTCTGGTGTCAACGCGAGCCAGGCAACGGAATCGACGACTTTTGCGTTCTAGCGCATCTTATCAGCCATTATCAGTTGCTATCGCTTCCAATCATGTACCACCAATGTCCCGGGACCGCCCCACATAAGACTTGTAAGTATAGACGCTCTTTACCAATATGAACGGCAAAACGAAATTGGCGATGCTCGCTTTCTAGCCCCTCTTATCAGCTATTATCAGTCGTTATCAGTTCCTATCACGTACCACTTGTGTCCCCATCCCACCCCCTATAACATATGTAAGAACCACTGCGCTATCGTTACTGTGACTCGAGCTATGAATTTCCGGTCAAACACACACACACACACACACACACCAACAGACACACGCTAGCCGCTTATATATAGTAGGATTAAGCGTAACCACTGAATGCCTAATCACACAGTTCACGTCTGTGTCATGCAATGAATTGCTAATTTATTTAGAGGTGTGGATTCCTATGCTCTTATAATGGTGACTTCAAACGTACCCAGGTACTTGCTTCTGTGTATCTTGTTCTTGCGTTTGGTCTGTCGTTGTTAAGTATGTGAACTTCGCCTTCGATACAGTGAATGCAGTACCTGGAGGAGACTTTGGTGGTTTGCTCCAACATACCCTTTCTTTTGTTTAAAAATATTTCTCTATCTGTCTTTGCCTCTATCAACCGACCTGGAGGGGTTTTGACAACATCAGCGATCTTCGTCTCTGCCGGTTTCGACGATACGCGGAGAGCTTGAACTAAACGACATTGAATTGTTCTTTCGACAACTATTTTTCACATCTTCTGCCAATTTCTCACCAGAGTTGTTATGCTCAGCTTTTGGAGATTTGTATGGATGCTGTCGGGAAACATCTTCAACGCTTTTCGCGGTTTTCACCATCTCGTTTCTACTAACATCTTCAGATCCTGTTACCGATGGTTTGTGAGGACTTTGAAGTAGGGGTGACGCTATGATTTTGTTCGGTGAGATTCCAATTTTGTGTTGGTCCCCCGGCGTCGATGTCGTCCGTGGTGGATGCATCGGCTTCACATACGTTGCAGCTGTAATAGTTGCGCATTATAGGGCACATCTTGTTACATGCATAGCCCCTACCGTTAACACATTTACGCCGATATCAGCCACAGGTCTGCCAGTTAATAATCGTCTACCATCGTTTGTCACATTTCTTGCATCTTTTTTATATCGGAATAATTAGCTCTTACAGATTAGTAAAACTATTATTTTGTGCTAGGCCGTCGAGAAAAATGTTAATTTATGGCCAAGCTAAAGATAATTTAACCGGGCCCAACAGCCCGGTAAAATGTTATGTTCTCCGCCATTGGAGTACCTTGGGTTAAATTGAAACTGGGACTATGCTCGCTGAACCAAACGAGGCAGGAAAGAAAGTGTTGTTGGAACCAATCAAACAGAGACGCAATTCAAGAAGAACGCTCGGTCTCGAGGAGCACGTGCTTTTCCTTCCCCACTCTCATGCTTTGACAGAAGCTATGTGGCCAAGCGCAAAACAGTGGTGATGTTAGAGTACATACGTCTCTTGCTAAACGACGGCGGCTGTCCAAGTCCATATGAGAAGTTTTCGAACTTCAACACCTACGTGATAAAAGGTAGCGATGAGGAAGGTGGCTGTTTATCTTCGGAAACGTGCGGTTGCTATCAAATTTATCCGATTCTATCGAGAACCTCTTCATTTTCTAAATTGCTTGAACAACTGTTGGTTCATTTGTATTATGGCGAGGTGAATGTGATGAGATTTGTCCGCCCTTACCTCACACAATTAAGTAGTAAATATTAAGCAGAACAATTTCAGCACATTTGAAGGGTAAAGCTCATAGAACCCATGTGAGACAGCCACTTTACAGTCGATTTTGGACACTGAACGACTTTTCTGCGGAGATTGGAAGAAGGGGAGTGTGAGGCGTTGCATGCGCACCACACTTTTCACTCAGCTATTTTTGAAATGTGTGTTCAATCAAACAACAAAGTAACCTGACGATGAGCTTATTCGGACTTTCTACGCCTAGTGTTTCGTTCTTGGTTGGGCTCTATTCGACCTTTGTGCATTAAGTACTAATTTCTCATCTTTGATGTAAATTGCATTGCAGGAATGGAAAGTTTTGTGGTCCTTCCTTGAGCCATGTGTTGCTCACTTGATCGCTTAGTATAGCATCAAAAAAAAACCTTAGCGACTTGGCTACTTACGGGTGCAATCACCGGCAGAGTTTTTGCGGAACAGAGTGGAAGGGCTACACAAATAGAATGAACCTCACTCACAGTATCAGTTTTATTATTGAGGTAATGCTAAATTGATCAACAAACTGACTGCGTTGCAACAACACCCTATGCAATGAATGACTCAGAAAGATTCATAGCTTGCTCGAGTTCACCATAACCAAAAAAGGACTTTGAATGGACTGGTAACGAAGATCTGCAGACAGTCGTCCAGTTCGAGGTAATCATGATTTGAAGCTTTCGAGCTTTATATATGGGAGATTCGATGGCTTAAAGGTGAGGGCAGAGGAAGCGGTGGGCAGAAAATGAAAAGAACGACGTAAAATGTAGAATTTGCAAATTCAAAGCCACGAGTCGAGATTAGGTGCCAAGCGCTAGCCCCTTCTATGAAAAATGGAAAAGAGGGGCCTCGAGGCTTGGGAGGTGCAACGCTCAAAAGTGCAAGGCAACGGCGCTACGGCCCTGCCTTGAATGCTGCCGTGCTGCGATCCTCAACCACAACGGCATGCGTGACGTCTGCACCCTCTCGCGTACGGCGTACCATCGTGTTTTCCTTGTCATCACAAGGTTGTGTCTTTCCTTCATACCCGACTAACCTCACGATCAAAAAATTCAGTGTTCTTCATAAAGCTCTTTGCTTTTTC